GTGTGGCTTTCTAAATCGTCGACGTTAAATCATTCACTCTTTTTTACAAAATCGATTCGTTCAATAGTTTTATACACGACCTGAAAAACATTGCGTTGATTTGCACAGGTTGCTCCAAAGAGAAATCCCCACAAAAGTGCACAACTCTCCCGAATTTCGATTAGCTCGTATCTGGAGGTCCATATGAGAGACCTTCGAATAAAAAGCGAGCGACTGAGTCAATTGCTGCGTGTTATAAATGTTTTTTACCGCCATGTTTTCTGGGAAAGACCGGTTAACTATATCACAAAACACCCTGGTGCACTAACACTTTCAAGGAATTCGTTGTTGAGTGAACGGGACATCTATATAGCTGACCCGGTTTGGCCTGGCTACACAAAGCTGTGAAACCTTGTCAGAAGTGAGTCTTTCGTTGGAAACACCTACTAATAAGCTTCATTTTTGGCCAAAATCCCTGACTGAATTCAGTTAAGCACGTCAGTCTGATGCCACATCTGGATGACCTAATGAGTATTTTCACCAAAACGTCCCCGGTTCACCACATGACTAAACTACGGGTCAATCAGATTATGAATGACAATGTATCAAAAGTCGGTTTAGACAGCTCTGGATGCCTTGGACTTTTGAAGTGACAGTGAGCAAACAACAGTCTCACATTACGATTGCCGCACACGACCAAATAATCGTAGCTGGGGGGAGTCGTTGTAGAGAGGGGTGCCGGATATACACACTCAGCATGCTGAATAATTATCCACAGTTCCGAAGCAGCCATTACTATCCGAACAAGGTCGTAGCCTACATGAAAATGGGGAATCCGAAAGCAAATAGATGAATTGGGCCGACCCAGCCAGAATGACAGAATTGCTAGAAGTACGTCACACCGATCAACTATTCGCAGTCACCCAAATCGGGTTAATCGGGTCAAATGATGGGGAAATTCACCTGTGGTCAGTAACTTGAAGAACGAAGCAGACATATACGGGTATATATTTACGGCAAGGAAGCATACTTCTACATTTCCATGATTTGGAACAGCTTTTGTACATCTCTTCTACACGTTCCAGCAATTCCAAATGCCTTCGTCATGTCGGTAATAGAGCGACCAAAACGTTTTGTTTTGGGATAGGCTGAGTGGTTTTCAGGACGATCTGTATAGCTGCTAATGTTTTCACTGGTTTTCTTTGAAGTGAGTTTGCTGCATTTACCGTACGATGAGTCCACGAATCAGCCATCAAACCCTCTACCTAATCCCTAGAGAGGAAGCACTGATGTATCGTACGCTGTTGTTCCAAGTCGGGATTAAATCACTGGAACTCTGTTCGAGTTGGAGGTCCTTCTGAAGCAACAGTTCCCGCTTGATTCTTGGAACAAGAGCCGTTACAACAATGAGTAGTTGGTCGTTGGCTTGTTCGCTGAGCTGAGCAATTTGGTTGCAAACATTTGATCACCAATTGAGGTGACATCATCAGTGCGCTTTCAAGGAGCTGTCCCAGGTGGTGGTGGTGGTGGTGGAGCTTCCAGGGAGGTACCATGCTACTATCTAGAGGCGAGGTAATAAAATAAGCATATGTTCACACAAAGGACGGTGAAGCAAGAAAGTCTGAAAGTGGGGTATACTCTTCTTGGAGGGGACGTAAATTTCCTGATCTAGGGTTCAGTGCCGTCGTGTAAATCCGTCTGATTAGTTGTAGGTGTGGTAATTAGATCCAGAACGCTCTGGTTGAAACAGCGTTCCTCCCGTCCTGCTGATGGTTTTACACTAAATCACTGGACTAAATTTTTGCTCTTATTCGAGTTTATCAGCAGTGCATTTGCTTGGCAGTGCCGACGTCACAACTCAGGATGTCTGAGCTCCAAAATGACGCGTATTCTTGCCACCCTACCAGCTTCCACTGGACACATCTGAATTATGACATGTTTACACGTGAGTGATGTGGCTTGTTTGCCCGATGCGTGGTGAGACCAGTTGATGGCGTGACTGCCATCCAGTCTGATTCCTTCAGCTGCGCCACTACTGCCTTTGCGTGTGGACTGAACCACGGGATCCAGCCGAGCCTTAGTCATGCGCACAGAAAAGTGTAACCTAGTTCTCACAGCCTACTTGGCTTAGAGCACCAATGGCGCTACCTGACTGTGAAGTCCTGACGGAGGGTGAGTCGATCGTCACAAGCAGGGCAGTCACTGAATTGTCGTTCGAAGTGTTGGGTGAACCAATCCCATCACTCGAAAGTGAACACGTTTACCTATTCAGATGTGCGTCCAGCGTGATGCACTGGGGTACTGGTAACCAACTAGTCTCGCTTTCCAGACATCCGGCACGATCAAGGATATACACTAGTGAATGGCTCTCATAAGAACAAAAATCGAGCTCAAGAGCAGCGAGCAGCTCCTTGTGAGAGCCAGCACTATTTTCCTCATAATCAGGCAATGACTTGCCTGAAAAGACAATTTAGTTGGATAGCACAACCCGTATAAGGTGGCTGACCGAAATAGTCAATGAACGGTCAGAGGAGTAGTGGCATAAATCAACTTCCGTTGTAGAACCAACAGCCCGCATAAAAACCTCTTGATATTTTCGTGCTTTTGGTCCGAACGGGAAATAGACAAATCATCTAATGTTGTCAACAGAGGGCACAAACTGCATGAAAAAATCGCACAGTTGGTCAATATAGGTTGCACATAAATTCACGCGTTCATGAATCGCACGGTAAATTGTTTTCGGTGATTGAGTAAGTTACACTGATGCGGACAATGCTGTCTCTATCAACTTAGGCAAATCATTTACGCACTTGAGTACACCGAGATTTTTGGAATTATCTCTTTCAAGATTCAAAGATTTCATTCTCAATGGACTGCTCTAATCCAAGCATGATTTAGGCCTGATTAGGAGCCCTCTGTACGCATAAATCGATAACTTACCAAGGTGGTACCGTTTTGTCCTTCATGTCTTTGTGGGTTGCTATGGTTCGTATCTAATGTGGTTTACATGGCTATACTTATGAAATCGTGACATGTTTGATTGGACACTAGTTTTCTTAGTCTGAGCTTGGAATGACTCACAAGGGTGAGCTAAAAAATTATTGAACGGAAAGTCGAATGGGTTCGAACCCGATCCCGGCATCTCAACGGTTTCTGTCTAGGCCTGAGCAGACTGGCAGACTCGTACTTCTTTCAGATGGCATGGCAGCGATGCATCGACATGGTGTTACAGCCGGACCATTATTTTTGTTTGTCTTAATCGGGGTCTGGAACTATTCGGGGTAAATCCCGTACCATTAGCTTGAATGAGCGTAGTCTTCAAATAGAGGACTCATAAAAACGGAAATGCGTTGGAAATTGTATAACTCCAGGCGTCTTCTTCAAAATACCTTTGTACCAACACTGTACCTTAAGTTGGAAGGAACTAATTGGGACGCAGCAGTCGTTCAAAAACAGATGTATTTTTGGTAGAACTTTTTAGATCAGAAGGCTACTCGGACTAATCGATAATTTTTATTGTCCACTTTTGGACCCACGTGATCCTCTTCTAGGTCAAATAAGAGGTATATTTATTTGCCCTGTTAGTTTAGTCAGGTCGATTCTACCCATTTCGGGTCAATCATCGAGTCCGTTCAAAAGAATGGTTAATCGAAAAGCACAGATTACTAACGGAGACCGGTGACTTTGTTTGGAGAAGAGTAGACCGTAAAAGTTCTTGAGTTCTATTTTCAGTCCGGTTGGGTCTGCTCCAAGTCGAATAGCAGATTCTTTTTACTAAATGATTGATGTCAGTGGGAAAATCCTGGTGTAACGTTAGCTGGTAGACTTGAGGTTATTGGGTAGTGTACTGTGCTTACTACAGGACCCATGTGGGACTGTAGATCTTCAAAAGTGAATAGATTTCATAGTGTCAACGGGAAGCGAGAAGGCCGCGATTGCGAAAGTTTGGTAAGCGAAACAACGGTTCACAAGGCCACTTACGTTAAACAAGACCAAAAACGACAAGCTTTCTGTGCGTTCCCACAAGGACGAGACTGGCGTACAAGTTTCATTTTCATTCAGTCATTGGGGTCTTTGCCAAACGAGTATGGATATCGAAACTATAGGTTTTTAATTTACACGAGTAATGATGGTTTATCCACACCTAATTGAGTTATTTGTCAGAGAAGCGAGATGACTCTAGGTAATTTGTTTCAAACTGAGGGAGACCTTGTCTTAGCAAGCCTTCTATCCGGAGCAATAACACCACCAAGCGAAGTCTGAACGTTGGACAAACAATACTCTATATTCTCCCCTGAAGCCTCATCGGTGAGGCATGTGGAAGTATGATAAATTCTTTCCTGAGAAGAAGCACTATATTTTTGAAGTGGTTTAAAGTTTTAAAACTATTTGAACGAGGAATGGTAAGCGTGGATAGACCCCAATTCGTGTGGACCATGGCCCTAAAATAGTGCACTTTTAGCATGATGGTTTAATCAACTCTTCAGTTTTCAGCAACTTTATGAGTAGTGTATTACGTTTCTAACCAAATCTCGTTTCTCCCATTACCGACAGATTTGACTACTGAATTCTTTATCTCACAAGTATTCGAAATGAAGATTGCTTCAATGCTCCTTGGTAAGTGACCCGAAACCAGTGAGTGGGCAACTAACTTTCTGCAAGTGGTCAGGACAGGTCTAGCGCACCATCAAGCGTGACGTCAAAATATATAAAGCCTCCTACTAGGAGACGATGTTTCTGGGGCTTTGACATACGTTTGGACATCAAGCATCCATCTGGGGATAGTCCATGGGATGGCACAAACAAGTGGATCACCTGGCATAATTCATAGACAGACAATGTGTGAAGCTATCGACTGCTGGTAGAATACACTGGCGGTTGATCAGATGACCACTGATGTGTTCACCAAGCCTGACGATTAGCGTGCAAGAGTTTAGTTCCCAGTCGAGGAGATATCACTAGCGAGCTGTCACCAAAAGCGTAGTCGATTACTACCCAACGACCTCCCGGTGATGACTCCCCTCGAATGTGACCTTGTGATTGTGTAGGCCATTTTCAATGTTAGTTTGCTCTCACCGCATTAACACCACAGTCTGTATAAGGAGAGTGAGTTTACCCGTTTTTCGTTTCTAAACAGCACTTGACAGAAGCAGTGTACACATCACCCTTATAGAGAATGACAATACTTACGACAGGCTTTCTTCACATACTTGATAGCATACTAGAATTATTACGTTGTGACCTTGAAGTTGTGACCCTTCAGCCCTACTCCGCCAGAAGCAAATAAATTGACCGTAAACTGAGGGAAACTGCTCACAAGGTTGCTGAAAACTCTTCAACAGCCCACGATTGGCTTCGCACTTCTTGGGGCTCATCAGGTAGGCACGGTCTCCGAGTTTCCATCAACCTCGTGTTCTACTTGAACCCAAATCGTGGGCTGTCGAAAAGTTTTCAGCAACCTTGTGGGTAGTTTCCTTCATGAAAATATACTGCGATATCTCGAACATCGTACTTGACCGGAACCTCTTCACTGGTTGTGGAAGTTCATTGACAAAGCAGTCTGTCCGTCGCACACGAAAACGATTTTTTTACCGGACACTCAGTGAATTTAAACTCATTTGAACTATTGTCTTTCCGGACCCAGCAAGTAATGAAGGAATCGGTGCAATGCGTATCGTGCCAACTGAAACATGAGGCAGCCTGTGTGCAGCACATTCAGTTGTAGAATATCATAAGCGAGAGATTCGGTTGAGACTCTCGTGAAAACCAAATTGATTTGCAAATGAGTGTATTTGTGGAAAACAGTTCAATTTGGGTTCTTGTAGAGCATGAAGTTGACGGAAACTCGGGGACTGCGCCTACCTGATGATGAGCCCCAACCGGTCGTGGGCTGTCGGCGGATTTTCAGCGACCTTATGAGTAGTACGTTACAAAGATAGGACTGCGAGTCATTTTCTTACCAAATCAATAGAATTTCACCCACATACATGGGACTTTGAATCACAAATGAAGGTTCTAACAAGTATTGGGATTGGTTCGTCAAAACCTGCCTAAAATTTAGGTTGACCCCGGATTTTAACTGTTACCCTGTTTAGTTTCTGTCTCTCTCAGGCTGCCAGTGTGATGATTCATCCAGTTGTGACGACTGTCACGGCGGTGCAATTCACCAGGCGGATTTCTCGTCAAACATCTTCTCCTGAATATAGGCATAGTGAATGTTTGTCATGCAATTTCGGCATCTTATATCTATTGTCCTCGCGATTATTTTCAAATGACTACTCGCAAATTTTTACGCGTTTAGTCTGCTCATTCCGAATGAACCTCTTGACTAACCTCTCATTCTTCAACTTTGTACACCGAATTTCAGGGATCCTACTGGCCTCGCTTTTAGTCCTGAAGGTCAATGCGGCTACCACAGAAGAGGTACTGGAAGATATACTCAGTTTGACCTATTGGATCGTGGTGGAACTCAGCGTGCTCCTGGTGTTCTCGGTCATCATAGCCACCATTTCTCTAGTGGCAGCCTGTTGCCCAAATTCCTTCACAAGATAAGGAAAAAAGCGTAGTTGGATTTAAATTGTATGAATAAAGCTGAGGCGAAAACCACGGTAATTTTTCCCTATTGTTATTGAGTCTGCCCAATCTGGTAAATAACCAAACCAACCACATATTTTTCAAAAACGTGGTGCCCCACTTCACTTCTTGAGAACTCTTTCGTAACTCAGAAACGCCTAGTAGGAATATCAAAATCATATGCCTATTAATCACTGATCTGGAAGAGTACGGAATATCGTGTAAAAGGAAAGGGAGCAAGGAAACTCTGCCACGTTGGGTGAAACTTGCAGTTTCCTAGACTAACAAAATATGGGTAGGTGTAAGGACCGATAGTGAAGGGAATCGAGTCAAACGGAAGCATCAGATTTCGCCGAATTTTGTTTTGACAGGAAACTTAGCCCGAATCCAGTTCGATCTTACTCTCCACTTCATGAATGTCCGCTTCAAGAAGGGTAAGGCTGGTCGTGGACCGTCCAAGACTTTTCAGCAACCCTATGAGTAGTGTTTTACGTTTAGAACTATCAGATGTTTTTAGGGAGCGTGCAGAACAATCGCTGGATTGGGCAATCTTGTGCGAGGCAAGCAACAATTGTTCAAGCCGTGGTGATGAAAACAAAACACATTATACCGTGCAGACACATAGCTTCAAAACGGTAATAAAACAGAAATCATTAAAATAAATATAAACAAATCGTCCAGTTGTAACACCCTTTCGGTGCCCAGGTGCCATGCCACCAGAAGGAAGCACGATGGCTGGGATACTGTCAGATATTCCTAGCCCAGTCTGAAGAAGTTGAGATGCAGAGGTCGGGTTTGAACCACGGACTTCCCGGTCAGTAAATTCTCGCTCTTACCACTGACCATCTTGTCCCCGAGACTTATCGCCCCCAGTGGTCATCACCGTAATGCCAGATAAAAACTGGGCGTCCTGAACTTCCATTTATGTCAACCAAATTATATTGACATCTTTGTAAGCTGTAAATTTGGTCCTTTCCATGTAATTTTGTGCACGGTTTTGGCATACTACTTAATCTCCCCTCACTCGCAACTGTCAAACCCAAAACTATATTATTGATTACTGTCGATAAGCAATTCATGACCTGAATAGCCATTGGCCAAACCGAAAGCTTAACAGATAAAAGGAGAGTTCTTCATGATACACTCAAGGTCAATGGTTACAGTGCAAACTTACTGACCGGATAGTCCCAACCCCAGGTTCTCAATTGCTCCTCTCCAGGGTTAGGCGAACTGGTAGTGTCTTATGTTCCTCATACCACCTACGAATGGTGTGACGACTGAATGGTGCTCGACGTTATTTGTTATTTTACCTATGTGCATAACGCACGAAAAGAACAGCCAAAAATTTAAGCGAGTCAGTCCGTCACAGGTTACAGCGAAGAGAAAACACACATAAGCTAAACAGATGGGGGGTAGATTCACACTAATGTGCGAAAATGAATTGCATGCTACCGTCCTTCGGCCTATTGTGCAAAATGTGAGAGTTGGACCATCAGATATTTTGTTAACAAAAGGAAAAACAATACATGTTAGTGGTTCCAAATTTTTGGAAGGTCGTCCTGAGTATCAGCATTCACGTGTCTTCAATCGAACTCACACCCACTGTTTGACTGGTCGCAGTGTTTTTCGAAGTGTGGTGTTGACAGATCTGAACATAGTGGGAAGGCGGTTAAAAAGTGAAATAAATATAAACTATTTACTCGGTTGTTAGTAGTGTGGATGTAAGATAATGCGGACAATGCGGCACAAACCGATTGCGGAAGACCATAATGGGAGTGAGATCATGAGAACTGATGGGTTCGCTTCCCCAAAGCATACAAAGACGTACACTATACCCCGACTGATGGAAAACAACAATTTAAACATCTCTGGTTAGTGGTCACTCCTTCCTGCTTAGCACTTTACAGCAATGAGCCTCTAATGGTGGTTTGTGGTTAAAAATCGGCTGGATTCCGGTTATTTAAGTGAAACACTGTCAGAACGAACACTTATGTTGCAACTTCATACGAATCGTCCTAGTCTGTGCGGTGTACTTGTGAACCAGTACAGTCCTGTAGACACAAATAAGAACCAAAAGATGGAAAAACTCGAAAGGCGTTTCCCAAAGAATGTAGTGATTACTAGTCCAACTCCACTTCTAGGAGTATGAACAAATCCAACTAGCTGACATTTGATTTGTAGCCAGAACACATAACGCGTTTGTCATCTGAGCCGTTCAATAAGATCAAAATTTTTAGTCTAACCTAAACTTCAAGAAATGAGAGAGAATAACATTAATTACTTGTTAATTACTTGTTTGGTTTTACCATAAGTTGTCAGACATCACTTGTTCGCTCATCGTGTCGCACTGCTTAGTATTCTCAGTATTCGGTATATGTAACCTTTGAGAGAGCTTTCAGCACCTTCTTTTTAAAAGAGCATTCAAATACCGCAGCCGTTCGGCCGGTACTGATGTAGCCATTGGTTCCACTATATGCTTTTTGACACCAGGGTAACACTTTAAGTGATTTCTATATATCTTAGGAGGAAAACCCCAAGACTCGTTTGAGGAAAAATCTACGGTTTATATCCTGGTTTCCAGCGATGTACTCGTGAAAAAATATGGTCTACTAAGCGGACAAATGCTTAGTTTAATGGCCCTCAGATATAAGCACTGTTTAACTCTAGAATAAATAGCTCATTCGCAAATGAAAGGATTACTGATGTTAACTTGAACTGAACAACGAATGAGTGATTAAGGTCATCGCGTGGGACTAGATCCTAGGTCAACCAATCAGCGCACAGCATTTAGGCGCTTTCACTTACAGTAGCTGACCGTTCACAATACACCTTCCTCTAGACTAGTGGTTGAACATTCATAAAAAGACTGTTCAAATCAAGCAACACCTTTGAAGTCTAGCTAATTGGTTCCAAGCCTAATTTTTTTTACAAAAAAAGCGACCAAACTATAGTATGCTCACACCACGTTATCTGATGTCTCAGTCTCCATTGTCGACGCCGAAGTTTGTGTCAATCTCCGAATTTGGACCAGCTTCTTCTCATCCCGTCGAGCACCTAAGTGTACCGCTCGCCTGAGTGTGGTTTGGGCTGCGCCATGGTTATCTACTTCCGTGTACGTTGTAGTGAAATTCCGCCAGACTTTTAATAGTCGTTTTGTTATTCCGTGCGATGTCCTTCGTGGTGACCGCACTCCCAAAGCGCAGTCACGCATAACGTACCAGTCGGGACTGTTATCATCCTGTCTGAACTCTGGCGAACTACCGTCAAAGTGCGTTTGATGAAGGAAGTTGAACAGTAAAGAATCACGTCGGCGGCCGCCAGTACCACACATTTCCTGATTGAAAATGAGAAATATTATTCATGTATTAGTAGGCACCAAGTAAGCGTTGAACACCCTTCAAATCAGAATCAATGAGTTATCTGCTGATTATCACAGATCAATAAGATGAACAAGGAAGAAGATTCTGAGCACAGCAAATGATGATGTGGGTAACTAAATTGCAGATGTGGTAAGCGTAGGTGGCAGCACTGAGGAAGTTTCTGCATTTACGGCACTTAAACTACGAAAACGTTATTGATCGCACCAGTCACATAAAAGACGTTCCATCAGAACGGCTAACAGTAAAGCAAGATGATGTGGAACGTATCTACCTAGGGGTAGGTGGAGAACGACCTTCTTTCGTGGAAACCACTGGAAGTGAGTACGGTGCCCTAAAATGCTGTATCGGACAAGATTTCTCTCGGAACTTACCCTGTACTTCTGAACTTGTGCACAGGGGAAGATGACAATCAGAACAGTGACGGGATGAGCAATCGTGACACGAGTTACAACTGCACCAATAAGCAACAAGTCTTCTGCACACACAAAAGTCAGTGAACTATTTTCAACCTTAGCGAATATACACTCATCTGCAAACTAATTTGGTTCTTTCCAGAGACTCACCTGGAACCCAGCTGAATCTCTCGTTTATGATGTTCTCCAGGTGATGTTTCCAGGTGAGTCTCTCCAAAGAACCAAATTAGTTTGCAGATGAGTGTATATTCGCTAATTCCGTGCAATTTGGTTTCAAGTAGAACATAAGGTTGACGGAAACCCGGGGACTGCGCCTACCTGATGAGCCCCAAGAAGGGCGAAACCGGTCGTGGGCTGTCGATGGATTTTCAGCAACCTTATGAGTAGTACATTACAAATATTTTCAACCTTATTCATCGAAATCACTGTTGGATCAAACCTATTTAAACAGTTTACATTCAACAGAAACGTGATTTAAACTAGAATCGATTCTTGTTGGGATACTTCCATTTGAACTGCCAATCTCATAAGTGCGTGTTATATCAATAAATCGATCTTTGTTCAAAACCGGCCCAAACCAAACGACACTATTTGCCCACCTTGACATCCTCGTGGGCTTCGAAAATTATTGAGATAAACAGGTTGAGAATGCTGTAGGCGAACAAGGTGATGAACAGGTAAAGAGACGACTGAAGAAGTAGATACTCCGAGGGGCGCGCTCTCCAACTACACTGAAAGTGACATAATGTCATCTCCGTTGATCAGACTGAACAGACTCTCGATTGTTGATATAAATGTGCGAAACTTCACATGGTACGGACCAAGCACGGCCTAGCCACATAGGGTGAACGCGAAGAATAACACCATTGAGCACAGGGTAAATCGAAGGAGTGCGGGAACTGCACTGGAGATATATCTCATCAGAATCTGATAAGGAACCGAAAATGAGCAAACAGAGAAGTAGTGACCATTAGGTAAGTCCCTGCTGGGCTAATATGAGTGATAAAACATAACTCAGAAATGTTGTTAAAGGAAGCTTTCGACTTTGAGGTGAATATTTCGCAGTTGAGTACCTTCCGTTCCCAAATTTGTCCGGACGTCTGACTGAAAAATCAAAGTTGTGATTCACCTAAAATGGCTGAAAATAGATAAAGTTGGGCAGTCGAGGTAGATTCAGCGTTTTTTGACTTTGTTCCAAAAAGAATAACTTTCCGTTTCTGTTCGAGTGTTCGCTTGACACTAGAATGTGTTTTATTGTTTCCTGAGGCGCTTGATGCTTTGTCGTGTACTTCGAGGTACATCCATGTTGAGTCTCTCCACTATTTTGCGTAAAATCATTCGGCAATGTAAACGATAGTGCTGAAGGATCTCAGAAAGACAGCGTGAACTCTTAACATTAATAAAATAATTAATGTTGTACTCGCTGAGGAGCCATAGTCGAGAGAGGCAACCCAACAAACCAATGGAGTACCTGATATGCAGACCACGGCACACAGCATATCCCGAGGGAAGCAATGCGACTGGAAAAGATATGCCTACCAATTAGCCAATCACATGACAGGATATTCTCCGAACACTCTTTAAACAGACAGACAAGGAGGAGGCACCTATTTCACTGCACACTAATAAAGTCTCCTCGACTGAGAACGAAAGGTTTGCAAACTAGCTAGAGAGCCCGGAGAACGAATCAAAGGCCTCCTGAACGGCCACCAGAAGTAACCCACAAAAAGAGCGACGTTTGGGTCATTGGAACTTTGTTAAATTTTGGGACTGCGAGAAGATCATCAATCAGCTACGACCAGAAATGAGTCTTTCATGCAGACTTTGGTCAAAGTGCCATTCAAGATGAACCAAATGTTCACTAACACCAAATGTGTAAAGTGTAACTGGGGGTTTCTGGTGTTTCTAAATGTCATACTTTTAAAGTTCCAGAACTGTTCAGGAAAACTGCTTCGCATATTTTTATAGGTTTCTCTTCCAATATGCAGCCGCATTGGGTAGTAAATTATGGACGACACTAACCACCGGCTCCAGTGGATATCCTGCTGGTTTCGATCCCAAGCAGGATTGTTGGCTGTCGAGTAGTTTAGATTACTGATCGCTTTTTGTTTAGCTCAAAAGAATCGATGCCATCTGGTGCTTGGATAGGACTGGTCCAGACCATCTCAAAAGCACAACGAAGTGCCTTTTTGCTGTCATCGGTCATTAAGTCGATTAACGGACCAATGTTATATCTGCGGAGTCACCAACATGTGGTGTCTGCTGCTGGCCCACTCAAGTGCCTAAAGGCGGAAAAAAGATTCACAGAGGGGAACACAACAGCTATATTCCGAACAAGCGAGTGCGAGTGCTAAAGTGCAGAGATCTCAAGCGCCGCAGGCTATTGACACACTCAAATTGAGTTCGCCGAAACTATAGGGTTTTTTCAAGTTGCTAGTTTAGTTGGGAGTTAGTCTAATCAATTTGCACCTTCCCGTGACATGTTGCACGTAGCATTTTGTTTAGGTGAACAAAATGTCAAGGTCATTGACCATCGCTGATGTGCATTTTTTGCCGGTTTACGTGACATAAAACACGAAATCACACTTTAGTATATTTTGGCGTTATTCGGTGTTCCTGAAGAATAAAATAACATCTTAAGAGTATTTAATGCAAATGCTACCCTATAGGATTAGTCGCGGGAGTTTGTTTGCTTTAGACACCTCAGATTTAACAAATGGGATATTTTTGTTTGGTGAACCTGCTCACAACACATTTTCCCTATGGATCTCATGTTCCATTAAGTGCAGTAATTTTAGATAACAGCACAAACTTGCAGTGGCAGTGCGAGGCAGATATGCATAACTAGCTTGTAGATATTACATTGTTACGAGATATCTGAGGGCGTCTTTCCTATTATAACTATGACGTCCTCTAGGTGGTGACCACCATAGAGCGGTCATCACGATGAGGGTAGCCGTTGTCACTCACCTCGACTACCTATTGTAGCTGCTGGATCCGTGTCTATGTGCGAGGCTAATTACGGTTCCCCACATACGCGCGGCAGCCCAATCCAATGAGCAACGACCGACCCTTGTACTCGTATCTCTACTAGTTTTCACTCATCTCGAATACTTGTTGTAACTACTAAGCTCGCGTTTATGTGCAACGTTGATAATGAGACGGTCTTTTTTACCCTTAACTATACGCGATGCCGCTTGTCTTCGCTAGCTACAGTAAACATCAGTGCAATATATATGCCGACCAGTAAGAATAAGGCCTCAGCTATGCGTGATAGCCACATCTGACAGCCTGTTATACTCACAACTGTACTCGAGGTCATCTAACTTGGCTATTGATCGTACCTGTTGAGTCAGTGTCCTTGTGCATACATACCTAATCTAATGGCGAACGATGAACCTAATACTCAAAACTGTACGCGATATCGCCTACCTTGACTACTCATTAAAACTGCTAGGTCAGTGCCTAAATGCGACGCTGTTTATTAGGCCTCAGCTATGCGAAGTGTCCTGATTTAACTGCCAAAGATGACCCGTCATACCCATAAATGTGCGCTCTCTCGCCTATGTCTGCTACTTATATCGTCATGAAGAGCATGAAATCAGTGTTGAACACCAATCTTCACTGTCGTACCTGCCTGCTACCTACAGTGAACACCAAGCCAGTATCTATGCGGGCTGATATAAACCAGGTTCCAACTATGCGTGACATCGTAACGACCAACGGCTGCCCGTCATACTCATAACTGCAGTTGATATCGCCTACCTTGGCTGCTTATCGTAATTGCAAGACCTGTGTGTACGTGCAACGCTGAGTATAAAGCGGACGGTCTTCATACCCTTAACCATACGCGATGCCGCTTATCTTCGCTAGCTACAGTAAACATCAATCCAATATATATGGTGACCGGTAAAAACAAGGACTCAACTATGGGTGATAGCCTAATCTGACAGCCTGTTATAATCACAACCGTACTCGAAGTCACCTAATTTAGCTATTTATCGTCATACTCATACTTGCTCGATGCCGTTTATGTTTGCTACCTTAAGTAAACATCACAAATGTAGACGACGTAACCTACGGTGGCTACCTATAGTAACTGCCAGGCCCGTAAACATGCTCGTAGCTAACTATGATGCCCCGGCAACACATAATAGACTAACCCAACGATCAACGGTTGTCATCACCTGTCAAACTGCAATCACCACCCAATTTGATAGCGCACTCCCAACTCCTACTCTTGATTGTACCCCCTCGACCACTCCCTCCATTACCGAAACAATGAGCTGTCGCTCACCTCGTAACTGCTATTCGCGACGCAGATTATGAGGCCTCACCTATGCACGCCAACGTAATACAATGACCAACGACGGCGCCCCATACTCATAAGTCTACCCACCATATTCTTGAACAAGCCGAACAGCTTGCGCAATGGCGCAAAATGCTCGCTTTCGACAAAGGCATACATTACGGGTCGACCGTTACTCATGCCATCTGTCACAAGGAATGTATAAAGCTTGTACCTTAACAGCGAACGTCAGGGGCTCTAAATTTATTTACCCAAGACGGTTAGTACCGTGTGTAGCATCAACGTTTACAACGTCCGGGAAACGTCTAAAGATTGCTATCTGCTGCGTTCGAGAAAAGCACAGGTGACTATCTGCCCTTTATGTTTCGGTAGTCGCGGCTTCTAGATAAAGCAAAACGTTTACCTGAAAAAACACAGTACCCAAAACCGAGGAAAAACCCTTAACAGCACAGGACCAGTTCCGTCTTTCTTGGGATTCATCAACTGGACGCAGTCCCCGAGTTTCAACTTTATGTTCAACTTGAACTCAACTTGGATGCGGTTTGCCAGCTGCATTCATTGTCACACCAATTTGGTTTCAACGAGAAACTCGACTGGATTCTCTTGTTAACAATACTTTTCATTTGGCGCTTAGCTTAAGTTCTCCTATGCCCAAACTATTTTTCAAATGAACATTACATGCAATCTGGGTTCACAAAAAGCATAAGTTTGAGGGAAACTCGAGAATTTTTCCCTATCTGATGAGCCCCAAGAAAGGTGAAACCGGGCTTGAGCTGTCAAAGGGTTTTCTTGTGCGATTGATTCTACCAAAGTTTGTTTGTTGATTGTTAATCAGTAAACGCTAGAACTCAACTAGGTGGACCCAAGGTACCAGATAAACGGCCTTCAGCTTGTAGCTGGTAGTTTTGTAAATTGCCTTTTCTATCTATCGCACGTGACCTCTGGAATGATTTCACAGCAATGTCGGTTCAAATGGTAGATCACTTGATCCAACTCAAGTTACTGAGAGCGGTAAAGACAGCAGAAAAGGAAAGTTTCTTTGAGGAATACACTTATTTTTAAATCAATTTGGTTTTCACGAGAGACTCAAGTGAATCTCTCGTTTAAGCTATTCTACAACTGAATGTGCTGCATACAGGCCGCCTCATAATTCAGTTGGCACGATATTCGAGATATCGCAGTATATTTTCGTACAGGAACCTACTCACAAGGTTGCTGAAAACCCTTCGATAGCCCACGACCGGTTTTGCTTCTCTTCAGTCTCATCAGGTTTGTGAACCATATGTTGCCCTACAGTCGGCCCTTATCGAAAACAAATTAACGAAATTTTGTAACAGAGCCGTGTATATTTGTGACTGCATAGGAAAGCTGGAATCTAAAACACTGTGACCAAATTTATCGGCGTGGTATGAAACCAAGCCAGAACAGCTGGCCATGGCCATTCAAAATCAATGTCACGTGCCGTAGAGGCCGAAATATCGATCAGCTTTGAATACTGAAATCTAAATGTAGAGACCCTGTAGGGAGAACGACAGTATCAACAGGATGAGATACGAATCCAGGCCTACGTAAAAGTCCCCGGTCGTTCTTTAAGTACATTCCATTTCTTTGGGGATAA